GGCAAAAGGACCGGGCAAGGCTGGGGCCCTGGGAAAGCCCAGATGGGCCCAGCCCCTCTGAGAGGAGCCAAGGGAGGCAGGAGGGCAGGTGTGGGGGGGGCAGCAGGGCCCTGAGGAAAGGCAGCACGCACCCAACTTTGGGAATGAAAACATAGAAAAGTGAACAAAGTGATCCCCTGACGTCTGCTGTCACGGTCATGCTGCACGTCCACATTTAGTCAGCCTCCCCAAAACTAAGGAAAACAGGCCTGCGGAGGCGAGGGGTCGATCAGAGCGATATGATGCCCACTGTCCAGATTCAAGATGAATCTTGCTTGCAACTGGGGCTCTTGCTCTTGGCTTTATTTGCACTTTGTGCATGGAGGGGCCCAGCTTGCCTGCAGATTGCAAGTGGGGGATTTCGGGTTGCTTCAATGAGAGGCGCACCCTTTTCCCAGAAAATTATCCCATGACTCATCTGCTCTTACACAGGGCTTCAAAAATGTATCAGGCAGTGTCTAGGTAGAGAGTTAAACCAAGCAGCCAGAGAAAAATAGGGGTAACTTTAACCCAGGGGCGGGCAATTATTTTGGGCAAAGGGCTGTTTATTGAGTTTTGGCAAGCCATCGAGGGCTTCATGAGAGGCACCCCAGAGCAGATTAATACTAATTTTCTAAATTTTTTAGGGGCCCCATGGGCCAGATAGAATGGCCTGGCAGGCTGCTTCTGGCCCCCAGGCTGCATTTTGCCCACCCCTGCACTAACCTAAAAAGTAATCTGAACCTTTCCCCCTGCTCTCCTAGTTGGAGAGACATTGGGTGAGTGTGAATGCGTTTTCTTTTCAATCCACTAAGAGAAACAGAATAAAGCCAGACTCGGGCTCAACTGTAAATCCATCTATTCAATCTGATTTACATACTAATACAGTTTAGGCCTATATGCCCTGTTCAATGAATATGAGGACAGACATAGAAGTCAGCAGAACTATGCAAACGTAAAAAAGGCACAAGGCTTTTTGCCTCTTCTCACCTCCGGATTATGTCGATGCTCTAAGGATCAGCAGGCAGCCCTGCCTAAAGGCTCCAATCAGAGTTCCAGTGTGCTGGGAGCTGTTCCCCACTCTTCTCCTCAAATAATTCCTGGCAAGAATTAATCTTGTTCCAATCGTGAACAGATACCAAGCATGGAAATTTATCCTGAAAAAAATCCTGACAGCACAAAACAGACATTTTGCACTCTTGACTACATCATTCACCAATTAAAATAATAAAGAGAGAATACTAGCTCCTTTATTAGAAAGACCGGAATATTGATCCAGTAAAACCACAGAGAAAAATTCTTCATTAAGGGTAAGATGAAGACTATTTTTCTTTGTTTTTTGTAGCAGCCCATTCTGATATATGGCAAGAGCTTTTGGAAAACCATAAAAGGAGTATCAGGAAGCCTACACTGGAGCTCTTTAATGACTCAGATTTGCCACTTCAGTCAAACCTGGAATTAATGAATTTCTGTTTGAAAAGAGAGCAGTAGTGGGGAATCTAATGGCAAATCCAAATAAGGAGAAGATACATGAACAAGAACACAAAACTATAAATGAAAATCACTAGCCATTTGTATAGAAAGGTGTACCTTAAAAACAGCACGGACCATCAATCTGCCAGTGAGCATAATTAATTTCTTCTCTGAGTTCTTGTACATCTGTTGCTTCTCAATTAAAAAAGCTTACTGCAATTTAAAAAATGGCAGAGAGATAGGGGGAAAAACACCGCAGAGGAAAGATTGTCTTAGTTATGCAGGTTATGCAGGAGTAAAGGCAAAGTAACTCCAGTGAAACCATAGGAGCTATTGTGCATTAACATCTGTGTATGATTAGCATATGGCTCTTAAAATATTGGTTGACATAAGCATTACTGATTATAATTGTTACACTGAGATTGTAAACCTGGATGAAATAAATTTGTTTCACTCACAGACACAACATTTTTTTTTTGTAAATCACAGGGCTTTGGATAGATTCTGCTAATGCATTGTTATAAAAGTAAAACCAATTTTCTCTCATCTCTAGGACTTTTGTAGCATCAGTTTTCAGTAAAACTTAGAACCAGAGAAAAATAGGCCTCAAGAAATCATCTAATGCACGCTCTTCCCAAATCAAGATCATCTTTGTCTAAACTATCCCAGACAAATGTTTGTCTAACGTGCATTTAAAAAGTTCCAGTGATGGAGACTCCAGAATCTCTCTAGGTAATGTTTTAGAATTAAACTTAAAAGAGTTAAAAATTAAAATTAGAATGAATTAAACTTAATTGAATTTTAGAATTAAAATTCATTAGAATTTTAGAATTAAAAAGGTTTTCCTCATATCTAACGTAAATGTCCCTTGCTGCAGCTTAAGCTCATTACTTCTTATCCTGTCCCCTGTGGACACAGAATATTTGATCACCTTCCTCTTAATAACAGTCTTTTTTGTAGTTGAAGGTTATTGTCAAATCCCCTTGAGTCCTCTCTCCTTTGCACAAAATAAGATCCGTTCTTCCAGCTTTTCTTCATATCTTTCTAGCCTACTAAGAATTATTTTCGTGTTGCTATCCTCTGAACTCTCCAGTTTGCCCACATCTTTCTTGAAGCACGATGCTCAAACCTTTAATGCAGGTGTGTGTGTGTATTCGTATGCCTCTCAAATGTATCGTTTTTACCTACTCTTGTAAATTCCCTTCACAAGGGTTGCATCTACACGTGCCACTATGGTGCCATTGTTACTACACCATCATTTAATACTTTGGAAGTATACCAAGGGAGCGCATCGCTATGGCAGTGTAGCAGCTGGTTTGTGCCTGCTGACACTATGTCATCATAGTGCAGGGGCACACAATTATTTTGAGTGGAGGGCCGCTTACTGAGTTTTAGCAAGCCATATATAACCATTACTTTTTTTTCTTTTTTTTTTTAGACCAGAGCCTCTTGATGATTTCCGGATTATATGGCCAGATCTAGTCTAGAAGTGTCTGTTAGATCATACAAAATATATTAAACATTCAGATAATTACATATAGAGGCTGATATGATTGTCTTTCTATGTAAGCTCAGCCTAGCATTCTTGTGCCTCATACTTCTCTGTCCTTCCCACACCTACCACTCCACTTCCATGCCACAAGTAGAGATGGAGAAAAGTGAGAAAGAAAACCCATATATGAACTTGGGTATCTTTCAACATGAACCAGGTTCTGTACTGAATTAGACTCTGGCAGAAACAATGCAGTATTTCTCTCTTCTCCTGAGTACTTCTGTCCTTTTAATTATGTTTTCTTTTCAAGAAAATAATCTTGTGTTCATGTATCTTTTTTTTCTCTTTTCATTTGCCCATGATGTGTGGAATGTAGGCTGATTTTTTTTCTTTAAATGTAGAATTCAACTTAAATTCTGTATGCCTGAAAATGTTCTTCCTGTTACAAGCAGCCACTTAAGTTTACAAGAATCGAAACAAGTAGAAAGAAAAGCACATTGCTTCCTAATTCTTGGCCTGTTTTGCACGTGACAATGCTTTGTGTAGTCAGCTAGAGGGAGTTTGCATGAGTCTTTCACAGAAGTGGGAGAAACAATAGGAAAGTGAGGTTCTAGAAAAACAAAAATGAGCAGAGAAACCCAGATGTAATACCTTAGAAGAGAATGAACTATATATTTTGAGGTGACAGTTTCTCTTTAAATAAGACAGAAACCTCAGGGTGGCAGTTTAGAAACTGTCTAGTCATTGTGGTTCAGAGAATTATAAAATAGGCTTCTGACAAAGAGAAAAGGCACTGCAACTTCTAGAAAGCCAAGTGAGTCAGAAACCAGCCACCCCTGCTGAATGAATAATATAAATGGTTTAATGAATAAATGGTGTCTTGTAGATGCAGATCACTTACGTGGGTAGAAAGTTAGTTAGCCTGCTTGGTTTCACTGCAGTCAGTCAAAGGAATTTGTCATGTTCTGGCCTGCTCTAAACCATGTTACAGATTTGCCCTGTTTTCAGCTATTGATGGCCAGTTCCTGGTACAGATAGAGCAGTATAAACTGTTTGGGCCAGATTCAGAGCAGTGCAAACTAGTGAGTCACCAGTTTGGTCCCTTGAAGTCCATGTGCACCATTTGAAAATGTAGTCCTTAGTATAGATAGGCAAACTCACATTAAGCTGCAGCATTTCAAATCACAGCTTCAGACAGTCAAGCTGCATTGGTGCAACTGGCCACTTCTGGTGCGGAAATGCAAAATGTAGTCTGGTGGCAGCTAATTGCTAGGGCAAATGCCCAAGTGTGCATGAGAGTTTAGTTATATTTTAGATGAAAAAGAGCAGGAACTTATAAAAAAAGCTTTTCTGTATGTCAAACGGCTCAGGGAATTACAAATGATTTGAAGACGCAACACTGGCTTTGTTTTTTTACAGAGATTACTGCAGTTATAGAAATGTCACTGAACAACTGCATCTAGGTTTCACATTGGGCTTTTCATCCTATGAAGCATAGTTATGGTACACAATGCAGGTTTAATTAACAGTTTCTCAGTTGATACTATAAATTCATCTGATTGTGATCTCATAAGACTTCTTAGATATTAAGTTAAATCTAGGTACAGCACTTATATCTAAAAGGTACTTAAATGTACTTCATAATTCTCTTTAACTACAATTTAGATTTGTGTCTGTTCTTGCATGGCTACATTAGCTGTCATTAGGCATCCAGAAAAACCAATCATGTTATCCCAGGGCATTTGTTCTTACTGAGGCTCATCATTTTCCACTGTGATCAAGGAAAATACCAATAATTTAGCCAGGTGAGGAGGGCTGTCAGCTCCATCAGTGTAAGACTAGGACGTGTAACATGTATTGATGCATGTGTACAGGCTGATCTCATGGATGCTGCCACGTACAGCTCTTAATTTCCTAGAGGCAGCATCTACTATAACAGCAAGGAAGATTTTTATTCTGTAACAGGATTTTATCTTTGGCATGGAGTTCACTGAGTTGTGTTAGTGATCATATTGTGTTTCCAGGGGCATTTCTACACAAGATGCTAAATGCGCAGTAAACTAATTCTACTGCACATTAGCACAGCAGGCAAAAAGAGTGCTAATGCAGAGCAGAATTAGTCTACTGCACATTAGCATCACAAAAAAGTGTGCGCTGGTGCTCCTGCGCAGTAGCACCAATTACGTTACGTTGCATTAAGTTAGTAACTGTTATTACCGGTACTAAACTTAATGCGCCTTAATTACGGTGCATTAATGAACGTGTAGACATGCCCTCGGTGGGTGCAGCTGGGCCAGGGAGAAACTAATACTTGCAAACTGTTCAAATTGACAGCTATAGTACATGGCTGCTTGCGTGCAAATTCTTTTTTTGCAGACTGAGATGGATCTGATGCTAAGTGATATTAATGAACTTGAGTTATGATGCCCTCCAGGCATAATTAATCACTACTGACAGCATTTTAGAGAGACTCTTAACATACTGTAATAAACTGATCTGTGAGAAGTAACTGCCTACTATGCAGTATTATTTTATTTCATTTTATGAAATCTAGAATTGTGCGCCAAGAATGTCTAATAAGGTGGACATAAGCTGAATGCATAGCAGACTAGAGGACAGCTGCTGTATCACAGACCACTTTGTATCCTTTTCTTAGCATTAAACAATAAATAACCTTTCCCCTGAAGCTTGCTTGGGTAGGATGTCAGTATTGTTTTGCATGGTGAAATTAGCAAGCTTTCTGTTAACAGACTGGAAATTCATTTGGTATTGGAGGGACAAGTCTCATAGTATTTAATTTTTTATTTGTTGTTGAACACTTACTGTCATAGGTCCAATAGCATGAAGGACAGTTGATGTTTGACCTGAATTCAACTCCAATCCTGATTTCACACTGCAAATCTCCAGTTGCTTGAAGATGAGACTAGAAGGCTTGGCATATGGTTATCTTAAGAATGGCAGGTGAGCCATATGCTAATATAAAAATTATCCAACAAGTACCCTCAGGAACAAGTCCTCCATCATTCATTAACTTGCTGAAAATACATCGAGAACATTTAGTCACCAGTATCCGAAACACCCAGTGTTTGATTGACAACTTGATTAAGAATGAATACTTCTCAAATGAAGACGCTGAGATTGCTGCACAGTTTCCAACTCAAACAGATAAGGTATTTTTCTTATTTCATTATTTAGCTCATACTTACTGTTGTGGTTCAGTGGTAGAATCCTTGTCTACCCCATGGGAAACCCAGATTCAATTCCCAGACCTTTGTGTAACTACAGCTGTCAAGGCACTGAAGGTCTAGACCTGGTTTGGCCTTTGGATGTTGTCTCAATGGTCTAAAAGAAGGGATGGAAAGTCTGGCAGTCTCCACTCCTCCATACTCCAGCCTAGGTGCATACATTGAAGGTCCTGGTGACCTCTTGTGCATACACCATGATCCAGAAAGATTGGAAGTTGCCTACTACTGTTTAGCTCAAGCTTTTTATTAGCCTTGTAAAATCCCATAGGCTTAAGTACATCTGGCAACTTTCCCTCTTAGATTTAAATTATATTTGATATATCCAGTCCAGCCTCCCCTGGAGAGAAATATCTGTCACAAGTATCCCTGCCAGCGCTGGAACTAATTGGCCTTCCTGTTGGCAGGCTGTTCTGTGGATGAGGCAACTGACTCAGTCTTTCCTCCACTCACATTTTCCTTCCAATGAGTAGGGTCATTGCTGAGGTGGTCTATGTAAACTTTCACAGTTGTGAACTTTGCTCTAGGCAGGACACAGTGTTCCTTAAGGTGTGATCCAGTTCCCATTAAAATCCATGGTAGCCTTTGAGTTGTACCCTCAAGCAACTGCTACATTATCCCTGGAGATCTATTTTTTTTTAGCAATTTTTATTTTAAAAAATCTATGAAATTTATTTCTAAAAATCTATGATGTTAAGGCGTTTTAAATGCACACCTTTAAAGTCTTGCTGTTTAATTACCATGCAGAATACTAAACCAAGAAACCATCTTATTTCACCATAACATGGGACATATGAAAAGTTGATCCTAGTTTTAAGGGGGAGGCATTTATTTTAAAATTGTAATTATTTTCCACCTGTGTAGTACTTCTCTTTGTAAAGAGAGGAGTTTCATTCCATATCCTCCTTTGTGAACTTAGGAAAAACTTTGATATTCTGATACATTTTGGCTTTAGTGTTGTTTTCTACTGGGGACAAACCTAAAAACTTCTTGGAATTCTAAGTCTTCCATTAGAGGAAAAAGATCAGTTCAGGCAGTTTTCCCTTTTATAATGGAGACATTGTTTTAAAACAACACCTGGCTCTGATTTCCCTGATAAACCAGTTACGCAGCTTAGAAATTTCAAAACACAGCCAGAGGTACATAAACCATAAAATGCTCAGAGCCCTGGCCTTCATCAATTTACAGACTTCCCCTAGCATAATCAGTCTTCTTGAATAATGAAAGTTTTAATAACAGTGCTTATCTGTGTAGTAAAAAAAGCTGAGAGCTGAAAAATGACAATCTTTATGGTCATCTTGCCATTGTAACAAGACAGGCTGTCAGCAGAGGCAGCATGCACTTTACAATATTAGCTGAAAAGGAGATTTTTGTGAACCTCTCTAAAAAGCTGTGAGTTAGGTTACAGAGCAGTCTTTGCTTTAAATCACCTGTCCAAAGAAAAACAAAAAAGCTATCATCTTTTTGGTGTCCACAGTGTACTTTCTTCTTCACTAAGATCATGGCAGACAAAAGCAGCTATCTCCAGAAACTTGAGGAATTTGAAAGCTTGAGGAATTTGCCTACTGAAGAATTTACGCCTTTGGCTAGGTCAGTTTCTTGAGCAGGAACAGAATCCAATCCAAGAAGTACTCAGAGGGACTGCTGTACTTTCTAGGGGCACTTGAACTAAGGTCCTCATACGCTGGTTGCACAAAAGTCAGACTGTACCTTGCCCTTATACCTACCCACACTGCAAATCTACAGTTGCTTGAAGATGAGACTAGAAGGGTTGGCATGTGGTTATCTTAAGAATGGCAGGTCAGCCGTATGCTAATATAAAGATTATCCATCAAGTACCCTCTGGAACAAGTCCTCCATCATTCGTTTCCAGCTGTCAGTTGGAGTCAGTCCTTTTTGCTAACAGGTGTGAGCATTAAATCTGTGGCTTCTGGGTGAGTTGGGAATCCAGCATAGCCTGTTTTTTCTTGTAGCCTTGAAGCACTGAACTAGTCTGCTTGGAGGGAAGAATGCTCATGTTTGACTCTATATTCAGTCTTGGAGAAGCCTTTCACCTCCTATACTGCAGAGCAGGCTAGGGTCTGATGTACACCACAGCTGAACCTCACATTTTGAAGGGCCAAGTCTGAAGGCCAGAAATCTGTTTTCTAATTTCACTTTAAGCTGGGGAGGATTTAAAATTTCCTTCCCTAGTCTGTGGTGCCCAACCAGGCCTAGAAGCTGCTTTGCTGCTCCACAGTACAGACCCATTCATCTCTGTAATTAACATCTGTAATTAAGGACTGAGATTGAAATCAGAGCTCCAGGTCCAGACTCTCTGTAACAGCCCAAATCTAGCTACATCATCCAAACACACTGAACTTTGGGATGTTGAAGGTCCAGATTTTGAATTGAAATTTTTAAGGTGGACTCAAGTTTTCTTTTTCAAGTCCTATCTCCAGTGCTGAAGGGCCTCAAAGCATTCTGTAAATGTAACAGATAGCAAACTCTGCATATTACTAACATTTCACTTGGTCTTCCTTCAGGTTCGTAAAATTCTGGATCTGGTTCAAAGCAAGGGAGAAGAAGTTTCAGAATACTTCATCTATACCCTGCAGAAAGTCACTGATGCTTATCATGAGCTTCAGCCCTGGTTGGATGAAATAAGGTTTCAGCCTTCTGAGAATATTCAGAGTAAATTGGTTGTAAATACAGATCCAGGTAGGTAGTCATGTAAGGTCTTGTATGCAAGTCAGTTCCATGGAAAAAACATTTCTCCAGTAAACTCAATTCATGCATGAACAGTAACTTAATTAACCTGTATGTTGATTATTTTCATTCTTTGCTCTTAATTATTTTATCTGTCAAAATCAAGCTTTAAAAAAATGTGTAACCAGAGATATAACCCTCTGGTTTTCAGTATAGGGAGTATGTGGTGAGATTTTTCAGCTCTGCTGTTACTGTGCAGGGCTGAATGTGGGCTAAAGACCCATATGCAGTTGCTGGAAATTATCTTGGTGAGGACAGCACTTAGTATAGCTATATACTTCCAGATACAGGTCCCATCATTCCTCAGTGAAGGGAATATGAAGCAAGAAGGTCCTTAGAACTATGGGAGACCCTGAATAGTGCCAAGACCAGCTGCTGTGACTTGGACAGTCCTCTCTTCTGCCTAAGTTAAGGCAGTCTCCGTTTCAGACCCCAAAACATGGTAGAACCATGAGGGTCCGAAGATGGATGAATGACACAATAGCCCCTTTTCTCAGAAGTTTGCAAGCCTCCCCCAAGATGATTAGCAATAGCCAGCCATATGATAGAGATTTCAATAGTGCAGTTACACCATTCCAAAAGTGGTGATCAGTTTGTGATGAAGTGATCAGTTTGAGGTGAATTAAGAGAAATTAAAATACTAATGTTAGTGTAAAGAGAGGAACAATGTCAGAATGTTCTACTGGAGGCCAGATGGAGCAGCTACAGTGCACTGTGCTCTGTAGTATCAGCACTTTCAAGTGAATTAAAGCTTTCCTTTTAATCCAGTGGTAACAGCAGACATTTTTTAAGCATGAGCATCCTCAACTACTTTGTCTCAGTTCTTTTTAAGGTAAACATTCTGGGGTTGTAAAGAGGGGCTTGAGTAATCAGTCAGCCTGTACTTTTAAAACAGCATGGCATCTAAATTATCCTTACAGGCTGGATGTTCCAATCAGGAATGGTGCAATAAGAACATAGAGCAACCTATATGTAAGATCACCATTTTTAACATGGAATAGGAAGAAACATAGGTATTTCTGTAGGGTCCATGCAGCCACAGCCAAAGAAAAAAAATATAGAAATGCTCAGCTCATAGATGAAAGTGTTGTGTCTTTGTAAGCTCCATCTGCAGGTCATCTACAGTATTAAATTACAGTCGCATTGATTTAGTTGAAGAGGTGTCTGTCTCATTTCACTTTTTCTCCCCTGAATCTCAAGGCCATTTTTAAACTAGAGCATCAGTCTCGCATTTAAGTCTAATATTGACTAGCTTTTTACATAGTGCAGTATCTTTGTGGTGACTGTTTGTTGTAGAGTGACAGACTGCTGATTTATTAAGCAGGACATTTATGTATGTCTGTTCTTTTAAATGTGAGAACTGGAACATTTCCCAGGTGGCATAAATACAGAAATCACTCCACCCCTCTCCCCACCTGAAGTGAAGAGCCCTTTGCAACACTACCAACAGCCATGCTGCACAATAGTGTGAAGTTTCTAGAGCCTGAGCTATGTGTTTTACACATAGAAATCATAACAACAAGGCAAGGAGTGAATATTAACTAGTTCAATAAAACTTAAAGAAGAATTTAGATGGGTAAATTGTAGCTACCCAAATACTGCAGGCATGTCAAACTCACCCTGGGCTGAATCTGGTAGACCTGACAAAATGAGCTGTGCCTTACAAAAGCTTGTGCATCTCTGAATTACTCTAAAAGGTGTAATTCTGCCCTGCCTTCTGCTTGACTTCAGACTAACACAGCTAACTACTTCTCTTTGCTCAAGGTAGATGCAAAAAAAAAAAAAAAGAATGCTAAGCATATAGCTGGTAGGAGGTAGAAGGGAGTTAGCTGTAGCCTTCAGCAAAACAATTTTTTATTATGCTAACTACTTACCTGTGAACTAGAAGCAGTTGAGCTTCTGTGGCCTGTAAGTCTGTCTTAATTCTCAAGCATGGCAGGATGCTTTGTATTTAATGAAGTATTGGACCTGACTGCTTTTAATAATAATTCATTCCCTTTTTTAGTTAGCAGGTACCGTCAGAAACTCAAGTATGAATTGGGAAGAGACACAAAGTTTGTCATGTCATATGCTCAGAAGGAGGAGATGCTGCTGGAGGAAATCTACTCTGATAATATCATGGAGCTGGTCAGTTATGCCAATGAGAGTCTTGGCAATGTGAACTGCTTAGAAGCCCTGTTTGATGATAAAACTGGGCTGATTAATGAAGATGGAGAGACCATCTGTGTCTTTGGTGATGCAGGAATTGGAAAATCCATTTTGCTGCAAAAAATGCAAAGTCTTTGGGCCCGAGGAGAGTTGGATGTTGGTGCCAAATATTTTTTCCGGTTCCGGTGCAGGATGTTTAGCTGCTTTAAGGAGAATGAAACTATCAGTCTGAAAGATCTTCTGTTCAAATACAACTGTTACCCAGACCAGGACCAAGAGGAGGTATTCAACCACATCCTGCAGTTCCCTCACGCAGTCCTCTTCACGTTTGATGGGTTTGATGAGATCTATTCTGACTTTGACGTAAACAGCATTCCTGAGATCTGCTCACCCAGTGAACCTATCCACCCACTCGCCCTGTTGGTGAGTCTTCTTAGAGGAAAGCTTTTGAAAGGATCAAGGAAAATTCTCACAGCAAGGACTGGGACTGAGGTCCATCAAAACATTATTAGGAAGAAAGTATTGCTCCGAGGCTTCTCCAGCAAAAACTTGAAGGCATACACTAAGATGTTTTTCAAAGATGAGGGGCGCCAAACATTGGTACTGAATCATCTAGAAGCTAACCCCAATCTCTGTAGTTTGTGTTCAGTACCTTTGTTTTGTTGGATTATTTTTAAATGCTATGAACATTTGCATTCCATGTTTGACATCCATGAGCTTCCAGATTACTCTGTTACATTGACGGATGTGTTTTTGCTCATGACTGAAGTCCACTTGAACCGAACTCTGAAAACAGATTTGCTGAAGAAGAACACCAGGAGCCAAGTGGAGACATTCAGGTCAAAAAAGGAAACCCTGCTGTCTTTGGGTAGAATAGCCTATCAGGGAATGGAGAAGTCTCTCTTTGTCTTTGAGCATGAGGAGGTCATGGCTGTGAACGTATTGGAAGAGGATTTGCAGTTGGGATTCCTCAGGACAGTTCACAACTATGCAGGCTGTGGAGACCAGTCCTCTTATGAGTTCCTACACTTGACCCTCCAGTCTTTTTTCACAGCTTTTTTCCTAATCACTGAAGAGAAAGTGGGTACAAAAGAGTTATTGAAGTTTTTTAATGAATGCTCCACCCTCGAGACTACCCAATTTACCTGCCTCCCTATTCCATGGTTCAATAATCGGCCAATAAGAGAAGATCCTTTCCGAAACAATGAACACTTTCACTTCACCAACCTTTTCCTCTGTGGTCTGCTTTCCAAAGCTAGACAGAAGATCTTGAGACATTTAGTCTCACCTATGGCCATTAAGAGGAAAAGAAATGCTCTTTTAACATATCTCTCAGAAAGCATGAAATCTCATATGAAGGGCCTGACACGATCGAGGCTTGCAAACTATAAGCAAGTTCAGGTTACACCCAATTTTGTTTGGATGCTGCGGTGCATTTATGAGACTCAAAGTGAAAAAGTGGGGAAGCTGGCTGCTAAAGACATGCGAGCCAATTACATCAAACTCACTTACTGCAATGCCTATTCAGCTGACTGCAGTGCCATTTCCTTCATTGTGCATCATTTCCAAAAGCATCTAGCTCTCGATCTAGACAACAACAACATCAATGACTATGGAGTTAGACAACTGCTTCCTTGCTTTAGCAAGCTTCTGGTGATCAGGTAGGGTTCTGTGCCAAGAAATAGCTTCTCTGCGGTCTGTTGTACAGCACAAGTATTAACCTTACAGAAATTCTTTGAAGTGTGATTGTGCTAGTGTCAGTGCTCCTAGAAATAAAATGCTTTCAGATGTTAAGATCTGTTTTCAGAAGCCTCTTTCAAAAGCAGAAGCCTAACTGGAGATAGGTTCATAAAGCCAAATTTTGATCAGCCCATAGTTTGCCCATTTCATATCCTTGGGGGTCTTTGCTGAGTCAGTGAATAGTCAACCATAGGGAGGAGGTTTGATTTGAAAATCCAAATCGCAAAAAAAAAAAAAGAACGAAAAATCAAAACCACCAGAAAAGCTTAAAGTGCTTAGGCCAGTGGTTTTGGTTAGGTTCCTCTCAAGTCTGTCTTTCAAAAAATCAGTCACAGCTGCTTCTCTCTCAAAGGTCCAGTAAAAACTTTATTTGCACTCCTTTGAAGGAGAAAAGCAGAGGCACCTAAAATGAAGCGCTAAGGTTACAATTCACACTCCTCAGCCTGTAGTCCTGTAGCATTCCATCCTCTCACAGTCTTTGACTGCCTTGATAGTCTGTGGCAGAAGGTCAGTATCTTCTAGCATTTTTTTTAATTCCCTGAAACTCAGGAGAGTTCGTTTTTCACTGGATCTGTTGCTTCTAATTGGCCATAGCCTCTGCTTTTTTCTGTAAACCTCACCTGCCCTTGAGGAATAAGCCAGGGCTGTTAGACTCTGCCTCCTCTGACTAATTTGTAAAACAATGTAGCTCAGTTCCCAAAAGAAGGAATTGGAGGAAAAATGCCATAGCACAGTAATTTTCAACCTTTTTGCATTTGAGGACCCCTAAAAATGTTGATTGGAGGTGCATACCCCTTTGGAAATTTTGAAAGGAGGTGTGGACCCCTTTGAATTGTAAGTGTGGGTATTCCCTTACTTTTGATTGATCATTGTAAGTGTGGGTATTCACATACTTTGATAGTCATCTTTTGCAGACTCCTTAGACAGTCTGCAGACCCACAGGGGTCCATGGACCACAGGTTGAAAATCACTCCCATAGCATAAAACAAAAGGGAGAAACATATAAGTCAGGACAATCTTTCTGACTCCATCAGTCACATGGGCTTACCCAATCTTACTACATGCAGGTGTTGAAAAGTACAGAAACAACACCACTCAGCATTAGACTGCCCTGTCATAGTGCTTTTTGTTAGCTTGGTGTATCTTGGCTCACGGTGTTTCATTTCCAGTGCCTAGCTCCTATGGGATAGAAAATGTATTGTGTAATGAGAAAAGTTAATTGCCTGACCAGTCACTTCCAAAGCAGAAGGCTCTGATATATAGAAGTAAAGCCAGATTTCCTTTCCCTACCAACGTATTTCAGAGCAGTTAAGACACCAACTCAGAATGAACAAGCAGGTGAGAGGTATTTCTCCATAAACAGATCCTTGACTGTAGAGCTTGTTTGCAATTAGGACTGCTTGCAAATCTTTCAGCTGAACAGTTTTCCTATAAAAAAAAAAAAAAAAAAAAGATTGGTAACATTCAAAGTTTCCCTGGAACATATCAATTTAGATAAGATCAAAATCTTCCATTTCAACAGAATCAAAATATTTTCTAATATAAAAATCAAAACAAAATATTTTGACCTTATGGAACTGAATATTTTGCTTAATCAATTTCCATTTGTTTGTCCCAGTTTAAGATAAACACACGATTTGAAATGTTTGAATTTTCCTGCGGGACTCCAGTCCTGTTATTCAGTCTTCTCTCTTTACAGCCTTGGTCAACCTAGAGCCTATCACAGTCTGAAGGATATTGTACTATGGGCACGTCTACACGAGATGTATTAATGTATATTAGCCTAATTTAATGTGCATCACAGGTGCTTGTCTACACATACATACCCTTAATGTACATTAAAAATGACGAAATTAGGCTAATCATGCAAATGCAGGTATCAAATTTAGGCGTGATTAGTTAAAGCACATTAACATACGTGTAGATGTGCCAGCCACTACGGGCACATGTCAGGGCTGTAGGGAGTTGGCACCAACTTTAGTGCCAAGTCTCTGCTTGTGTAGACACCTGCCAAAATTGCTTAATGCTCATTAAATTTAGTTGCACTTAAATGCATGTTCACTTCTTTCTCCAGGCCTTCCTTGGAGTACAGGCAGGGATAAGGAATGAGAGAAGATTAAGGACCAGCTGAGTCATCAAATAGAATACCTGCCTTTTTAATCACAATCAAGTGGGAGGATGGGATGTGTCAATCTATAGCATGACTTTTTTCAGGGCAGTGTCCAGAGCATTGGGTAAGAGAGTGGGAGTTTTTAGGTGAAAGGTAAAAATCTGAGGTCACATACTCATCAATATCTTTAATGCATGGCATAATTCTCTCTGTTAAATGTCAGAGTAAACTGTCCACTTCTCTGAATGATTAATGTACAGAAAGCAGGGCATAAAATGTTGTGTAGGTGGTGAACACCATGTAATTTGTACTGACCAAGCATCTGTTTTCTTTTACCTTTTTTTAGGCTGAGTGTTAATCAGATCACAGATCATGGAGTAAGAGTGCTGTACGAAGAACTCTCCAAGTACAAGATTGTGTCTTACTTGGGGTATGTATCCACTGGGAATTGAAGAAATGGAGTATTATTACATTTATACAGCAATGATCTTACAACAGTAGCACCTTGGGACCACAAAGACAGGCAGAAAACCCAAGCAGCTTCATTAATTTATTGAACCTGAGCGTGTCAGGCACTGCAGGCAGTATTTTGTGTCACAGCAGAGAGCACCGAAAGGCAGCTGTCATTAGAAATATGACATAACCTCAGGAGGGGAGCTGTTACTTTACACAGAAGACCCTCTTCTGCCTCCCCTGATCGCAGGGTGGTCTCCCACTTATCACCAAAACAATCCCTGAAATACAGTGCAGACCATCGTTTAGTTTTTAGGCAGTGTGGATGGGCCCAACTTCACAGCTCGTACATGATCTCCTTGGGCTTTATCTGCTTCTAATGAAGTCACTTGTTGCTGTGATATAAAACAGAGATGGCTTAGAAAAGAAAGGGGGAACAGACATGTGACATTTTGAACTGCCATTTTATTGGCTCCTTTTGTACAGAGGCACATAGTTAAACCATGTTAGTCTGAAGTCAAATAGAAGGCAGGGTAGATTTACACCTTATAGATCAACCAAAGTAGATATTTTATATATGCGTGTGTGTGCGTGTACACACATAAAATATCTACTTTGATTAGTCTAGAAGGTGTAAATTTACCCTGCCTTCTACTTGACTTCAGACTAGCACAGTTAACTATATTAACCAAGACAAGACATTATTTAAAAAAAAAAAAAAAAAAAAAAA